GGTTTTTGGGATTTGATGCAGGAGCTCGGCACGGCTCTTCGACGGTTACGCTCGCCCTGGGTCACAGCTGGTGGTTTTAATAAGTTACCAGCGGATGTCAGGCTGCGCGAGTGGGTGGAGCTATTGCATGCTACTCTGGTGGCCCCTCCAGGGCCCAGGTGTTTCGCGACTTCGGCTGGGACAAGACTGGATTAGTTTGTTCTCAGTCAGGGATTGGAGGCGTGCGTTCAAGATGCCCGAGCTCTGTATGGATCGCCTTCCTCGCCTCATGTCGCCGTGGCGATGCGGCTCAGGGGCCCTTCCCTCAGTCTGCCCATCCACGTGCGACAGATCTGGAAGGCCCCCCCCCACGGAGCTGCCTATAGGATGCACTCGGCAACCGCGCGAGGTGGCGTGGTCTTGGGAAGCTGGCGACGCGGCTGCCGTGGAGGGAGCTCTGGAGGCGTCTTGGGGTGAATGGCTCACCATCGTCGAACATGAGTTGTGCGCAAAGTTCGATTTGGTTGGCCACGGCAGGGCTGCGTAGACAGGTCAAGCGTCTGGGTTCGGCTCGAGGCGCATTCAGCTGGCAGATTCGCTCGAGAGACTCAAGCGCAGCGGCAACGGTTCGACGATGGCCACATGGCGTTCGCTTGCCGCGCTGCTGCGCAGGGCTCAAGGGCTGCTGCGCGCCGAGTCGGCGGACGAGGCGGCGGGGCCTGCGCGGGGCAGCGCGGGGGCGGACCTGCAGGAGCTGGGCCAGCTGCGCTTCTGTCTTCCTGATTGCGCGCAGGCCGCGTCCTTCGGCCAGCTGCCGCAGCTCCGCCAGTGTGACGGCAGCGCGAGGGCAGCGGGCTGGCAGGTGGGGCCCGTGGGCCGAAACCAGGAGATCGCCCCTCCCAGGCAGGTGCGGCCGTCGGCCCGAGCCGCGAGGGACGCTATCCCCGGCGGCCCCCTGCAGGAGCGGCTAGATCGGGCTGGCCTGCCAGGCTCGGCGCCTCAGGGCCCGGCTGCCGTCCTCGATCAGATGGTCGAGCAGCTCGATGCGATCGACCTGGCGGCGCTGGGCGGGGCCGAGGCTCGCTGCGTCGAGTATCATGCTATTCGCGAGGCTCTCCTGACTGGAGGTGGCGACTTAAACATTCTGCGTGCGACAGTGGACCTTGCCGCGCAGGAGGCCTCGGCACAGGCGGCTAGATCGGAACTCCAGCAGTGGAGAGAGTGGGCGCAGGCATCAGTGCAGCACGGAGGCCGCGCGGCTCATCGTTACATCAAGAATGCGGTTTACGTTGCTGGACCCGTTGCGCAGGAGGGCTGGCCGCTACAAGGAGATCAAGCATTACAGCACATGGCCGCTGCGTGGGCGGAGTTCTGGGACGACGCCAAGGAGAAGCTCGACCAGAGGCAGCGGGGGCAGGGCGGGTCGGCACAGCTGGAGAGGCCTTCAGTTGCACGTGTGCGCGCTGCCCTGCGCTCGCTCAAGGCCGCCGTGGGCCTTGGCGTTGACTGTATAACCCGCGTTCGTTTGACATGCTGGACGACGACTACGTCGAGCGCTTCATTGACATTATCATGGGATGGGAGGCGGCTCCGTCTCTCTCGCCACGATGGCCTACTGCGATTGTTTTCCTTTTCAAACCTGACGGGTCAGGTGTCCGACCTACTGCGCTCATATGCTCGATCCTGCGGGTTTGGGGTAAGATCCGTCGGGGCCTGGCTCAGGAATGGGAGGGCGCGCTCTTTTCACCAGTCTTCTGGGGCCAGAAGGATAAGGCGCGTGACCGAGCAGGATGGGCGCATCAGGTCATGGTTCACTATGCGAGAGCACGACAGCTCGAAGCGGCGACTCTTGCTACCGACATGGAGAAGTTCTACGAGCGCGCCTGTCACTCGATCCCCTTTGAGCAAGGAGCCGCCACGGAGTTTCCCTTGTTTGCTCAGAGCGGCGTGCACGCTGTACGCTGGGCCCCGCGTCATCAGTTACAAGGGCTGTGGCAGTGTCAGGTACAATCTTGGCAGGGTGCTCACTGGCCACTACTTTGGCAAGAGTCCTGGTTTACTGCGTGCCGGCCAACATCGCGGTGCAGCACCCATCTTTGGAAGCCAGAAGTGTCATCGACGACATGAGCCTCCAGGCCATCGGCGCCAGTTTCCACGTTATCTCTGAGTTGGGCGCCGCCGGGGGCAAGCTCATGGACGGGCTGAAGTCGTTGCGGCTGGTGCTGTCCGAGAAGTCCAAGTTCCTTGCCTCGACAAAACAAGGTGGCCATGGGGCTCCTGAGTGGCTGGCAGCGGGCCTTTCAGCGCAGAGGAGTGATAAGGAGTCTTGGGACTGATTGGCAGGTTGGCCCAAATCGTTCAGCCCCTGTGGCATCTCAGATGGTTTCTGTTAGTGTGCAGCGCTCCTGCGGGCTCCGTAGGCTTAGGAAGGCCGGGGCCTCGATAGGCCATGTATATAGGTCAGGGCTTCAGGCCAGTGCTCTTTGGGGCCGCGCGGTTCGAGGGCCCCCGTGGGTTTTCTTCCGCAGGCTCCGCAACCAGGCCCTGATTTCGCTAGCCCCGTTTAAGAGGGGAGCCTCTGCAGGCCTCAAGTTTCGCTCGTTCAAACTGGGTCGCAGTATCGACCCGATGCATTTGTACTTCCAGCAAGTAGTTTGTTTTTTGTTTACAGTGGGCCCGTGCTGTCTGGGACGGCACCCCCAAGTTGTCAATTTTGCAAGACGTTTTCGAGGATGCCGTGCTTGTGCTAGCCCAAGCCAAGCGTCCATGGAGTCGCGCCACGTCGCCCGCGCATGTCTTCGTCCTTGCGCGTGGAGGCCTTGGCTGGATAGCACACTCGGCGCGCCCGGTTACTTTGGCCACTGGCGAGAACATTGATCTTCTCAGGCTTGCGCCGTCCGCCGTGGCCAGTCTCGCTAGTTTAGCCTCCCGTCAGATGTCCGACTATCGCGCCCTAGGCACGTGGGCGACGACGGCTGACTGGGTCAGGCCTGTTTTCTGGAGCCCCATTGACTGGCTGCTCGGCAACAAAAACCCCACTTGGGGCAAGGCGCAGCAGCGCAGCCTAAGAGCGGCGCTGTCGGGCACCAGCTGGGCGCAGCATCGATTGCTCCGACGCGGCATGGCGGGCTCCTCAGTCTGCCAGCTGTGCCGAGCAGGAAAAGGCACAATGTATCATCGACGGTTGAGATGCGCTGCGTGGGAGGAGGATCGAATGACTTTTCTCTCGTCTCAGTGCAGAGCAGCTGCGAGGTTTGTGCGAGAGCTGGGTATGTCAGGTGAATCGCTTGCCTGCGGCATATTGCCCTTCCCCCGTGCTCGTCCCTCCTGCCTTGCGTTCGGAGGCCTGCGATATCCGTTGGTTGCAACGCCCCGCCGACGGCGCGCTCTCGGGGGGGGCTTTTTTTTACCGACGGGTCGGCCTTGCATCCGAGCGATGCTACGCTCAGGCGCGCGGGTTGGGCTGTGGTAGTGGTGGACCACCTGGGCGGCGCCGTCGCCGTGGCCTGCGGCCCCGTGCCGTGCGACGCGGCCCCTCTCCAGCTCGCTCGCGATGGCGAGGACTACGCCATGTGCATGCTACCCTTGGTGGCCTTTAACGTCGATGCTGTTTGGGTAGATTGCGCGGGCACAGTCTCGGAGGCAAGGGGCCGCGCCAGGGCCCTGTCGGCCAGCTGTGGCGAAGCGCACGTGTGGATAGGTTTCGCGCGGCCTTCGAGGATGGCCCCACTGTGCACAAGACCAAGGCACATGTTTCGGAGGCTGACGTCTGGCGAGGCCGCTCCGCGTTCTGGGAACGCAAGGCCAACGCCGCAGCCGACGCCTTTGCCAAGAAGGGTGCGGCTGTCCATCCGTCGGTTGACCGAGCTGCCTCACAAATCGCTGGTCTTCGCTACTTGGGCGGGAGGTGGGCCAGTGGGCGGGGCGGCGGGGAGTTCTCATGGCCGAGCGCGGCTGGGCGGACCCGACTGGGCTCCCCGAGGCACCCAAGAGGCCCTCCAGGGCCTCGATGCCTTGCAGGTTCTCTGCTGCGCCGAAGGCCTGGCTGGCTTTCCGCGCGGTGCTCTCGGAGGTCGCCACAGAGGGTCATGATCCCGAGCTGGGCCTCCTGTGCAACCTCTCTGGCCACTGCCTCCGAGTGGCTGTTGTGTATGACGACCAGGGGGCCTCGGTTGTTGCGGGCCCCAGGTCGATATGTTGTTTAGCTTGCGGGGCCTTCGCGTGGGGATCGGTCACGGCGCTCCCCACCAACTGTAATCCAGCTGCTGCAGGCACGGGTCTCCGCCAGCAGCGTAAGAGGTTGTTTTCAGGAAGGTTCCCGCGTTGCTTGTCTCGGCACAAGGGCTGGATTCTGGGTGCGCTTGAGAAGCCCAGTCCAGCATACCTGACCAGTCTGGCATCTGCAATTCTCGGCCCGAGGCCGCGACCAGGTGCGGAGCCTCGCGCCGTCTTCCGAGCAGGACCACCGTGGGGCATCGAGCTCACGCCGGGGCGCCTGCTTTCGCACTTCTGCGCCTCCGTGGACCGCCTCCCATTTCGGGAGGCCCAGGCGCACGCGCGATGCCGCGATAGCGCCTGGGAGGAGGGGGGAGGAAGCTGATTTCTCCCCCGGAATTCGTTTCATTCCTGCTTTTAACGGCTTGGGCGTTTCTAGCATGCGCGCACACACACACACACCTCCTCCTCCTCCTCCTCCTCCTCCTCCTCCTCCTCCTCCTCCTCCCCCTCCTCCTCCTCATCCTCATCCTCATCCTCATCCTCCTCCTCCTCCTCCCCTCCTCCTCCTCCTCCTCCTCCTCCTCCTCTCATCCTCCCTGCTCCTCCTCCTCCCTCCTCCTCCTCTTCCCTCCTGGCTCCTCCTCCTCCTCCTCCTCCTCCTCCTCCTCCTCCTCCTCCTTCTCCTCCGCCTCCGCCTCCGCCTCCTCCTCTTCCTTCTCCTCCTTCTCCCCATTTTGGGCTCGCCGCGCCGCCGACGCAATTCGGGAGCAGCCCCCCCCAGGGCCAGATCCTTCAGTAGCGGTGCGCAGGTCAGCCGGGCGGGTGGTAGCGGAGGGTGTCCCGAATGGGGAATGAAGGAAAGGACCCTACAGGGGCCCTTCAGGGCCCCTTTTTGAGCCAGCTGGTGCCCAAAAGTGGCCTTAAAGCGCCCCTTTAGGGCCTTTTTCTTCACCCCCCCTTTGGGTCACCCCGCATCACCACCCGTTTGAGTCAGCCCAAGCTCCATGTCACCCCATTTCACCACCGCAATGTCGCGGCTGTGCAGGCTGGCTGGGCGCTGGCGCTGCCGCTCGTGGCAATGTTCCGGACGAGTTAGGCTTCGTCGTAGCTTGTGCAGCGGGAGTCACCAGCCCCGCCCCCCTCCGCGTACAGTTCCGCGGGCGTCGGGAGGGCCGCCGTGGCTTGCCGACTGTGCTGGTCCTGAGCGCCTTACTGAACAGAGGAGGAGAAAGAGAAGGAGGACGAGGAGGATGGGGAGGAGGGTGGGGGATAGGAGGAGGACGAGGAGGAAAACGAGGAGGAGGAGGAGGAGGAGGAGGAGGAGGAGGAGGAGGAGGAGTCCGAGGACGAGGACGAGGACGAGGAGGAGGAGGAGGAAAGCGGGGTATAGGAGGGGATTCGCTTGAGCAAGTTTGGCCGTGGGCTGGCGTCGGGCCTTGGCTCCCTGGAGGCACGCGGGCCGTTGGCGGAGGGGAGGGAGAGGGGGAGGGGAAGGGGGGGGGGGAGGAGGATGCGAGGAGGGGGAGGAGCGCGGGTGTCGCGGGGGAGCAGGAGGGATGATTACGTGCTGTGGGCTCGGAGGGAGGCAGGATGACAAGGAGGAGTGACGCGGGTGGGGGAGGGGGAGGAGGAGCAGGAGCAGGAGCAGCAGTAGCAGCGGCAGGAGCGCACCCCCCTTCCTGTCAGGGCGGACTTGAAGGGAGGAGGGGCGCGAGAGGGTGTCAATCTTCGCGGGTTGTAGGCAAACTGGTCATCTGGCAAACCTGCAGGAAACTCTGATACAACCCCATTTGCACTATGATTGCCATCGGGCCTCAAAGTCTGATTCTAACCTGACATCAGTTTGGTTGCAGACGTAGTTTCAACTGCGACTGGGAGCCAATCCTCCTCCGCCCCCCCCATCCTGCTTATTCCTGTTTCTCCCAGCCCCCATCCACCTCATCCTCATCCTCCTCCTTCCTGCCTCACCCAAGAATCCGCCAAGTGGAGCTGTTGACGTTCTGAACCCCCAGCGATTTGATCTCTGCCAGTGTGTTACCTTGCCTCCCCTACCTCCATCCACTCCAGCACGGACAGGCTTCCACATCGGCCATATGATGTCGCGAGCCTTTTCGACGGTTCGTTTTGTGAGCTTCGCTCCCAGGGAGCACCCATGAGTGATGGGATTGTTTCCCATCGCAGCGGAGGTGGCGCGCGACGCTTTTGGTGCGGCGGCGGCGGCGGTTCCTCCTCCTCCTCCCCTCCCATCCCTCCTCCTCCTCCTCCTTCCTCTCCTCCTCCTCCTCCTCCTCCCTCCTCCTCTCCTCCTCCTCCTCATCCTCCTCCTCGCCTCCTCCTCCTCCTCCTCCATCCTCCTCCTCCTCTCCTCCTCTGCCTCCCCTCCTCCTCCTCCTCCTCCTCCGCTCCTCCTCCTCATCCTTTCCTCCTCCTCCCTCCTCCTCCCTCTCCCTCTTCTCCTCCTCTCCTCCTCCCTCCTCCCTCACCTCCTCTACTCCTCCCCTCCTCCTCCTCCTCCTCCTCCCTCCTCCTCTTCCTCCTCCTCCTCCTCCTCCCTCCCCTCTCCTCCTCACTCCTCTCCTCTCCTCCTCCTCCTCCTCCTCCTCCTCCTCCGTGCCCTCCTCCTCCTCCTCCTTCCTCCTCCTCCTCCTCTTCCTCCTCTCCTCCCTCCTTCCCTCTTCTCCTCCTCCTCCTCTCTTTCCTTCCTTCCCCCTCTCCTCCTCCTTCTCCTCCTCCTCCTCCTCTCCTCCTCCCTCCTCCTCCTCCTCCTCCCTTCCTCCTTCCTCCTCCTCCTTCTTCCTCCTCCTCCTCATCTCCTCCTCTCTCCTCCTCCTCCTCCTCCTCCTCCTCCTCTACTCTCCTCCTCCTCCTCCTCCTCCTCCTCCTCCTCCTCCTCCTCCTCCTCCTCCTCCTCCTCCTCCTCCTCCTCCTCCTTCAGGGTCCGCGGCGGCGCTCTTGGTGGCGCGGCGGCTGCAGTGTCAACGCGCCGTGGGCGCCAAGGGCGCCATCCAGGCGTGGCTCGGTGGCTCCGCCTCCCGCGCTCGCTGCTGCCGCGGGGGCCGCAGCACATGGCAATGGTGACCGGCGTCGTTTCATATTTGGGCGTCTTCTTGTTCGGGGGCGGCAAACAGGGGGGGAATGACTAGGGGGGGATATCCTGGCGGGGGCCATGCTATTTCCCTGATGTCACCTTTTCTTGTTTCATTGCGTCCCTGGCCCCCCCGCTGGGCCGCGCACGCGCCGCCGGCCATGATTTGCACCCCCCTTTTTGACACCCCTTCCTTGGCCGCTCCCGACTTGTGCCTGGTTGGGGCGGACAACGTGATGATCAACTTTAGAAGCAACCCGAAACGCTCCAGAATCGCTGCTGCCAACTGTTCACCAGGCCTGAGTCCAAAGATCAGTGGTCCTGCGTGACAAAAAGATCGAAGCTCTGCGTCGCGAGCTCGTCGAGACAATGTCTGGCAAACCCTACGCTTGATTTGGAGGAGGTTGAAGTTGGTGTGGACGCGGAGGTGGTGCAGGCCCCCTTTTGATTTAGGCGTTTCAGAAGTTCGCTCGGTTGCTGGATCGCGAAATGCCTAAGCCAGTCAATGTTGCACTATCATCACCGCAGCCGGCATCCAGCTGCTTCAAGGACACCGGCGAGGAGATGGCGGATGTTGCTTGCCAAGCTGCTCGCGTTCGCAGTTCCCGCCGTTGAAGTTCCAGCTCGCAACCTACATGCCGACGGCCCAGAGCTTGAAGAATCCCACCCCAATGCACATGAGAGATTTGCCGCGCTTCCCAAAACAACATCAGCGATGTCTTCAATAGTATTGTGCCGCTGTGCTACGACTTGCCAATCCAGGTATGGCACGTGCGTTGTTCCACCCCCTCCCCCCCGCCCCTCGGAGACCTCGGGCGCACGTGGCAAATGGGAAGCCATGGAACGTTACAGCGGCGATGCTTGGCCCACTCCGCGGGAGGAGCTGGTGGTCATCAGCTCCGCAACCTCCTTCGCCCGTGATGCTGGTTTCGCCATAGAAACGGGTGGCGAGCAGCGCGATGCGGTTGGCAAGTTTGGCTGGCGAATGTTGGCGCCACCTCATCTTCCAAGACAGATTTGGGGGTCCGAAATCGGGGCTTGCGGCGCTGGTTCGTCTCAGTTTTGTGCCTACATTTATCCAGAGTGGCAGTGGAGTTATCGATCCGGGATGGGCGATGAAGATTGCGGTCGACGTCCCCCCCTAGCTCTCCTCGCCGCTGTCAGCGCGAATCTTAGGAAAGGCATAGGGCATCGGCAGCTCAGCCTCCGACTTTTGAAGCTGATGGGAAAGGCGTTGCAGCGCGAGCCTCTGGTCTTGGCGCGCTGAGACTGCCGCTCCGACCCGCGCCCCACCTCGCCCCGTTGCCGCCGCCGCCCCTGCCGCCCACCGCCGCCCGCGCCCCGTTGAGTGATCTGGATCACCTCGACGACTGACGGCGGCATGTTCGCGCTCGCAGAAAACTTGCGTGGTTCCCCGCCGAAATTCCCGCGGCGATAGAACGTGTCCTCGCGCCCAAGCGTTCCTCCAGGGCGGCCGCGAAGGCCCGGGCGGGCGCTGCCAGAACGGAAGACCCCGCAGGCCAGTGAGACACCAGTTGCGCGACCAGGCCACCCAGGCGCATCAGCTTTCGCATCGGTGCCATGAGCATCTGCCCGTCGGGCTGCCTGTCGGACTCGCCCCCCGGCCGCGAAAACGGGGGCCCGCGCTGGACATTGCCGCGCGCGCGGCGGAGGCCGCCATCGACGACTGCGCTGGGCGGGCCTGGGAACGTTCAAGGCAGGCTTTTGTTGTTTTAACATCGTTGGGGTTCGAGGCCGCGTCTGTCGCGGCCTGGCAGGCCGCCGGCGAGGGTCGCGCGAGGGCTCTGCCCAAGGCTCCGCGGACCTTTGTTCTCTCGAGGCCCAAGAGCGAGGTCGAACGCAGGGCGGGCGCGGGGTGGGCACGCGGCGCCCATCGCGCGAAGGGGCGGGGCTCCAAGACCCCATCATGACCTGAGCAAGATCGGCCTGCTTAAGCAGGACACGATTCAGCTCATTCGGATTGTCGCGTCGCAGATTTTCTCCCGCGGGGAGCTCAGCGTTCGCCTGGGCAGCGCGATTGCGCGGGCTCGTGGCATTACTAGGCCATGGAGCCCTCGTTCGGACGCGCTGCTAGACGGCCTCGAGGGCCCCCGATGCCTCGTGGAAGAGGGCCCCGGGACGGCCGCCAAGGCCATCGAAGCAGGACTCTTGAGAGGGATGGCAGGAGAAAGCGCTGAGGGGAGGGTCTCGGGCAGCGCGCGGGCCCGCAAAACTTCCAACCGTCGATGGAAGTCCACCGCGAGTCATATTCACCCTGGAATGCGTTCGGTTAGGCCCCGAGATCTGCGCGAGGCGGGGGGCGTGGCGCTGGCCAGTTTTTGGCCCGCCAACACTCCCGCCCTGCCCGTCCTCGTTCCCGGCAGGATCCATGTTCCGCGCTTTCCCGCAGATCCGATGCATCGCGGCGTTCTTCGGCGCTCACTTCGCAGTCGTTGAACGGTTTGCATTTTCGGCGGCTGTCCGGCGTCGGCCGAAGCATTAGGCGCGTCCGCTGCACTTGCTCAAGCCTTCGAGTCTCTGGGGGCGTTCTCGAAAGTGCTCGCCCAGATGTCGCCCCCCTCTCCTGGAGAAACCTCGAGGACAAATGGTGCCCATGTCGACGCGCGCCAGCCCCCTTTGCGTTTTGGGGCGCCTAGGGGGGGAACGGGGGGGCCTGCTCTCATCGAGTTTAACGGGGCGGGGCTTCGGCCCCGGCTT